AAAGAGAAGGTTAGAAGACAAAAAGGCTCTTCCTACCGCATCCAATGCCAACTAGAATTTAACAAACTAAATTAGCCTTGTCTGCTACACTTCTGCCACCCCTCAGAGGTGCCCTCTCCCGCTACCCTTGTTCCCTCTTCAAGAGGCACTCGCTGGCTTGCAGAGCCTCATAAAAATCTCACACATGTCTGTGCTCAGCATCCTCCCGTCCAGCAGCAGCACGCTGCCAGGGAAGCATTCATTGGGAATTAACAAAATGGCTCCCTGGCCTAGCGCTTTCTCCACCCTCGCCGTGCTCTGCGAGGAAGGGAGGAAAGGGACTTTGCACGCAAGATAAAGCGCCCTCGAGGCTCTGCCAGGGAACCCGGCTCTTCCCTCTGAAGCCCAAAACCATCCTGTCAAAGCAGGACAGAGGGAAAAGCAATTGCACCACTATCCTAGAGCAGCAACAACTCAATTTGATGCCTAGCGCCAAGCATTCCCTCCTTGGGAAGGATTCCTCCCTGGGAAGCCCAGCCACAAGGATGGACTCACCTAAGCAAACACTGGTCCAGTGGCAATTGCTCCTCACTTCCCAAGGTGATCAAATGGCACGCTCGTCTAGGAAAGAGGACAAGAGCAGTCAAGGGACGGCAAGCAAGCAAAGGACACGGGACATGACACCACAGAGGCYGTGTATTTCCTGGCCTCGCTCCCTCCCAGGGCTGAGCATCCCGCTCCTCCAAACCTCTGTGGACACCACCGAAGGCTCGCTCTGAGCAAAGCAGAGCTAAGGCAGCTGCACTGAGCATGGCACCCACAAAACTCGCAACCAAATAGTGAAGGTGTCCCCTGCTACCATCCCGCCGGGCACATCAGGCATCGTGCTCACATCAGCACCAGCAGATCATGTCAAAACCCCCCGCTAGGCCCGTGAGTCCCTTTGGAAGCRCTGAGCGGAGGCTGCGGACTCACCTGTGATGCTGAAATCCGTGACACTTCTTGCCGCCCTGTGAGGTCAGATGAGGAGACGTTGGCAGGAGCTCCTCGGTGTAACCTCATGCTGACCTTCCGCTCCCTGTCCACTCGCGAGATGGCTCTGGGGGACGTGTTTCCTGTGCGAGGCACAGAACTGTGAGACGAGAGCACAACCCAACGTCCTCCCCAGGCAGCAGGAAGGGGGGCCCCCTCTCTCACCAGACTGCTGGATTCGGGAGGTGGGGGTGGAGGCCATGGGCTCGGCGACGTTGCGGAGGCGGTTGGCGGTGGCTCCGGCAGGGGGGCCGGGGGGCAGCGCTCGCGTGGCCGAGCCCCGGAGCTGTCCCATCCGCTCCTCCCGCTCGTGCTCTCGCCGCTCCCGATCCATGTCCTCGGGGTTGCGGGCGGCTCCCTGACACACACAGGGGGAAACTCCGTGTCACGCACACGCTGTCAGGACAGACAGTCACGCAGGGCCAGACAAGGAGCAGCGGCCCCAGTTAGATAATGCACGACAAGAAAGCAGGGCATGGAGCAGAGCTCCAACGCCAGAGCAAGGTCTCTTCTACCACCTTCCGTTTCACCCAGAAATGGGTCTTTCACCCAGAAATTTGGGTCTCTCCTTCAGGAGACCCAAAGAAATAATGTGGTATTACAGCTGTCACTGTGATCCACATCTCTGACTATGGTTCTCTTCACCTGAGAAAAACTCTCTTAACTACATTTAGCTATAGATCTCTCTCTCTATATATATATACACACACACATATACATTTACGTGTGTATATACTGACACACATGCTGCAAACACACTCACTAATCCAACAGTAGAAACAAACCCCAGCTGTCCCCACAGACTAAGTATTCCTCTTTTCAGTATGYCTGCCCACCCCTCCTTTTCAAGCTGCTCCCCGTGGGTAACAGTCAGCCAAAGGACAGAGTTTGCCCTTCCTTCCCCAACCCCACGTCAGGGATCCCCCCCCACACACACCCCGCCAGCCCTTTAGCCCCCMCACTCACAAATTTAAGCATGTTCCAGTCAAAAACGTAGTCGTAGGAGAAGCCCTGGCGGTGGAAGAGGTTGCGGAAGAGCTGCCGCAGGTAGGAGTAGTCGGGTTTGTCGTCAAACCGCAGCGAGCGGCAGAAGTTGAGGTATGTCGAGAACTCAGCTGGAAAGGGCAGAGGAAACACTCGCCTGTTACACCCAGGCCTTTCACCTGCAGCCCCCGACGCCGCAAGCACAGGGCTGGGCCAGCAGACAGGAGGCTGCTGGGCGCACCGCTCTGGCCACAGAGAGGAGCCCATCCTTTATTCCCCCTTTGCCCATATCCCTCTTCTGACTGCCTTGTTTCCCCCCCACAGCCCGACTCAAGAGGCAGCAAGCAGCAGAGCTTGCTCAAGGAGAGCAGGAACACATCCCCGAAGAACAGGCAGAGTCAACACTCGGGAAGTCAGGCTACACGGTGTGAAGATGATCAGTGCAGTCCAGGGCAGCACAGACAGGAGGGGGTGCAAGTGACCCAAGAGCAGCTGTGCCTGCTCAGGCCACACGTCTTTCTGCTCCAGTAGCCTCTGGCCACCACAGCCAGAACTGGGCAGCTACAGAAGAGTTAAGACCAGGGCAAGAAGGCCTGAAACTTCCATTTATGTGTGCCCAACTTCCAGCTATTTCCAGCTCAGAAACTTCTCAAGCTGGATGTGGTTTTAAGTATTCAATAAACCCCAGGGGATCTCTTCCATGTAGTTGTCCAATCCCTCCTTGAACACTTGTAAGTCTGAAGCAGCTGTAAGACCTTTCAGGAAGGAGTTCCACATGTCTACCACCAGCTGTGTGAAAAGACATCCTTTTGTGATCTCATGTTGGAAAAGAAAACAAGAACAGTCCCATCCAAAGCTCTGGAGACACAGGGAGAGTGCAAACTTCTACCACCTCCCCTCTAGTTCTCTCTTCCCCAGGTCGGAGAGCCCCAGGCCACCTGGTTGCTTCTCACACTCAAATCACCTCACCTCTCATCATCTTTCTGCATTTTTTTAGGGGGGACCTCTTCCAGCTCCACTGTCCTTCCTGAAATGGAGTGAAGGACATGCAGCAAAGGAACGCTCTGCATGTAAGGTGTGGGCAGGCCACAGATTTGTGCATGCTCTTCATGCCTTTTTCCTTTTTTTTTGTTTTTTTTTTTTCTCCTCTCTCCTCTCTGTCTCTGCCTTAATTTCTAATGGTAATTTGTTTTTTCTGTAACCGCTAAACATGAAGGTGATGTTTCACACAACCATGCTCTGTATCTTGAGCAGYAATGGTCAGCTCGGTGCCCATTACCTTGTGTGACATGAGGACTGATCCTCCTACTCTCCCCCGTCACACGCATCATTCCACTTTTACCTGCACAGAGCTGCATTTGACACTGCACTGCCCGGTCATTTCCGGCATTCCTCACAGTCAGCCTGTATCCTTACTATCCCGGGCTCCTCAGTACTGCCAGCACACTCTTCCACCTTGCTGCCTACCTCTCTTCCAGATTGTTTCTGAGATCCTACAGACCCTCAACAGCGTATTCATGCCCCTAGTGACACARGGCTCAACCCTCCACCTCAGATGTCTACATCCTCTTCTTCTGCACCACAACTGTACTGTCACTGGTCTCTTCTCCTTTCTCCTCATTGGTACCAGCTGCACATGTGGGTCCTTGCCAAGATTTTGGGGTACTGACCCCTTTGTGCCTCAGGCTTCACGGTGTTGCAGTGGAGGAGAGCCATGCACCGGACAAGAGAGCCATCAAGATTAGAGCACTTACAAGGGTACCCTTTGCAGAGCACCTCAATGGGCGTTGACATCTTTTTCTCGCTGATCCTCTCGTACTTTTGGCGCTTGGTGGCAGCCTTGAGGCCCTGCCAGGGCAACGAGCCCAGGTTGAAGTACATGAGCACGTAGCCCAAGCTCTCCAGGTCATCACGGCGGCTTTGTTCTGCGGAGAAAGTCACACAGGGGCAAGGAGTGAGAGGCAACCAAAACTTCTCTGGCAACTACACAGCTCTGGAAGCGCGCACRGAACCAAAGGAAAGGTAAACTTGTAGAAGAAATTCCAGCACAAATTCTTATGGGATTTTCTTACTGCAGAGTTAAAAGCACTTCTCTCCCCAAACAGCCCAAACCACTTCAAAAATGAATATTAATTCCTGACTCCCTACCYGCTTGCCAAGCCTGTGGGAGCCAAGCCAAGCTCCCACAAATATTCGATGGTCAAACAACCTTCGCAGTGACACTGCCCTCCTCTTCCTCCCCGTCACGGCAGAAGGCACCTGCACTTCTCCACCCAGACCAGCCTTTAACCCTGCAGCTTAGTCACGGCTGACGTGCCCACAGAAAGACAGAGGTGAGYCCCACACAACCTCTGCAAACACCGATCTTCCTGTCAGCCTGCTGATACTCATCGTGTGGGCCTGAAACGAGGAAACAGTGATCCCTTCTCGAGCGAAACACATTTACTGATGGTTCAGAAAAGCTTCACAGGCAACGCTGTGCAAAGCTGCTTCCTGCTTTGCTTGGGTTTTTAAAGCTGTGGAATGAAAAGGCACAAGGGCAGAGTTATAGTCCGGACAAAGGAGTTTCCCTCCTAAATGAGGGAAGGTTCTGCAAGTGGCATCATGATCCCTTCCGCTCAGAGCAAAGGTTGTCCTTCATATTCCATTTTAAGAGCCCACCTTCAGATACTTATTAAAAGTTTTCCAAGCAAAAACTCTTCACACACACACACACACACCAAATTTGTGCCCTAAAACAGCTTTCCCATTTCWGAGATAAGCTTCCCCAAAAGGAGATGACAGTGGATGCTCGGTGATGGAAAATGTTGGCTGAACGTTAATGCCCAGCGCTCTCCACCTCCCTGGCATGCGAACAACTCACCCACAAAGTGTGCCAAGCAGCTCTCGCTGCTGCTCCCCCTCCAAATTCARAGTTATAAATATGCATATCCACACCAAGGCGAGTGCCAGCCAAAGGCCAGGTGCCACCTTACCCTAGGGACGATGCAGGAAGAAGGCAAACCATCAAGATGAGTCAATTACCAACTTTTAAAAACCGCAGGGTGCCCCGCTGTTGGTAAGGGCGGCCTGGAGGCCAGGCTTACACAGCACTGCCTGCTGCCAGCACACTGGGGCTCTACAAGGCCGGGCTCAACAGGATCGATCACTCCTCTGCAGGACTAAAGATAATGGCATTCAGCCAAGGGAGGACGGGACCACCACCCTGCAGAGCTAACACAAAGGGGTATTACAGGTAGCCCTTACTCTGAGCTTAACAGAACCACTGTGGAACCATTACAGGGGGTCAGACCTAGATGTCCTGTGGGGTCAAGGCAACTGTGGGTCACTGAGGGTGCTTCTTCCTCCCGCATCCTTCCCAATTTCCTTGCAAGTTAGCAAATTAAATACAAAATAGAGGAAGAAAAACAGCACTATGGTTGCAGAAGAAAAGAAGATCTTATCACTTCAGAACACCTCTGTCTCAGAGCAGGGGAAATGCCATAAAAACGCAGAGTGCTCCAAGAAAGAGGAGAGGAAAACTTCATCAGAATTAACAGCTTTCTGAGCTCACTGACTTAAACTTGTCTCAAGTTCCCCATTTTAAAGAGGCTTATACTTCCTAAACTCATCTCTCTCTCTCTCTCTCTCTCTCTCTCTCTCTCACACACACACACACACACACACACACACACACACAACTGTCTGGAAGATGCTTAGATGCTATGGAGAGAGCACAGAAGAGAAACCCAAGTTTGCATCTGGCCTAAGGCTGGGATACAGGAGCCCACTTAGGAGCAGCTACACACCAAGCCCAGCAAATAATGAGAGCTAAGCAAGGTTTGACAGCACCCCACTTGGAGACAGCAACCCTGTGAAAACAGAGTCCAAACACCCATGCAGAAAGGCCTGAGAGCCGAGGCAGCGAGGGCAACTTCTGCACTCTGCCAGACTCCAGCTTGCCCACATTGCAGCTTCAGCTGCCTTCACTTCCAGGAGTCCCTGGGCTGCAGGGAGGGGGCACCTCTCATAGGAGCAGAGAAAGCAGGAGCTGGAGAAACCCACCTGGCAGACCTATTTGCTTTGGGGAATAAATCAGGATGCTGCCTCCAGAATCTTGCTTGGACTCCAGAGGGCTCAGTGCTCCAAAGGGCTGAGYGTTGGGCTGGAGCACAGCTCGGCAGCTTTGACCACAGCTGCTCCTCTGGTCTAGAACAGGGGACATTGTAGGAACCCRGGGCTACAACCACAGCCATTTGGGAAAGGTCAGAATTAGGGAGTTGAGGATAAGATGCTACAAGCTCTTAGTAGAGGCAAGGAGATAGGTTACCAAACCAAACTGGAAGGCTCACTAGGACACACTGTACACACACAAACACACCTTTACTTATGGCTGTCCTAACACAGTAACACGAACAACAACGACGTTAAGCAGGAGACACAGTCATTCAATGCTGAATGCTAAATGTCTTGTTCTGCTACATCCCCTCGGTATCACTGCTCAGCTAGATGTGGTCATTGTAGCCCACTTCAAAAATTTCAGTSAGGTTCATGTCTGGGAGGAGCCTGAAGCACCAGCAGGACAAGTCACCGGTGCAAAGCCACCTAACTACATTCGTGCAAAGTCAAAGCAGAGATTTCTTTGCCCTGTGACCCTACCTGGAAGATTCTGMGTTAGAGCTGGTGAGCAACACAACAGTTCCTGCATCCTACTTCCCTGCTTCATCCTTTGCTATTGTCACACATTCTCAGGCTTATCTCCAAATCTACATTTTTTTTTGGCCCCGCCTTGTATGCCAGCAGCCACAGAGCCCTAGGCAGCATTAATTATTCCTCTTTTGCTCTCCAGGGTCTGGAAAAGAAGCCTTTCACCTCGGTGCTCTGGAGAAGGCCCTGCGATGCCAGGGCTTTTCACTTGGAGCGTGGCTGGCTCCCACAGCGCCCACGGCCAAGGCAGCCCAGCCCGGCCCGAGGGCGCAGGCGGCGCGAGCAGCGACTCGCTGCGCTCCCTCTCTCCCACCGCCGTGCCTGGGCTCCTCACACCGCGAGGCGGAATGCTTCTTTTCCGAGACACCGATCCTTTCCTCCCTCTCTCATGAAAGTCCCTTCCGACACAGGCACCAAGGCTGCCTGCCCACACACCTCAGCAGCACATCTCCATCCATCCATCCATCCATCCATCCACCCACCCATCCACCCATCCACCCATCCCACTCTGCAGGCACAGCAATGGGAGACATGGGGTGCCAGCTCCCTCCCGCGCACACGGAGGCTCCTGGCCAGGAGCTCCCTTCCCAAAGGGGGTCCCCAGAAGGAGGGGACCAAGCCGGGGAGGGTAGCAGGAAGCGGAGTTACCTGCTGGCTCAGGCAAGGAGAGAAGACTGAGCGCTGGCTGCTTCACCCACGGCTCGGGACCAAACCTGGCAGCCCGAAGGCCTTGCTGCTCCCCCAGAAAGGTGCTTCCTCTCCGCTCTTCCCAAAACAGTGTTGCTCCCATGCAGGGCTCCCTAGAAACCAGATCTCCTCACCAGAGCCAGCGCAGACACAGTCTTAGCCAAGCAGTGCTCTCCACATGCCCTATGCCCCTCCTCCCTCAGTCCTGCCTGTTCACCAGCCCATCAGTTCATCTGTCTGTTTGTCCATCTTTCTGCACATCTGTCCTTCTTTCAGTCCATCTTCCACATCTTTCCATCTCTCTATCTTTCCATCTTTCTTTTCCTGCCAGTCTGTCTCCATTCCTTTTTTTTTTTTTTTTTCCCCCTTTCTTCCTCCTTCTTTCTTTCTATCTTTCCATGCAGCACTGGAATTGCCACATGGTAGGACCACAATTTGCCCTGGTGCCCATGACAGGATGCAGAACCACTGCAGGACCTTTGAGCCCTGCAAGCCTTAAGGGATGCCATGTAGGACACGCTGTCAGGGACGACCTGGCCCCCTCTTACCCAGACAGACCCCACCATGTTTCTTCCAAGCCTGTCTCCTGGGTACCCCGCGCATCTATTTCAGACTTTACAAGCTCTAGAGGGTGCAAGGGATTCTCATCCCTGGAGCATGTGAAAATTGACTGGAATGCATGAACCAAAGCCTGCGCCTCCCCCAGCAGCAAGTCTCCAGCTGTGGAAACCCTCCCCAAACTCCCCTCGAGCTTTTTCGCCGGTCACTGGAAAAAGAATGTGTTTCCTCCAGACATCGGAATGCCCAACCCTTAGCTTGCACATTCACATACAGGCATTTATCTGCTTGCTATTCTTGTCACACGAGCACCCGAGCACCTGGTTCCTTCCCTCTCCCCAAACTGCGTTAATGGGACGTTATGGCACAGAACTTAGACACCAAAAAGCCCAAAAATTCAGCGTGAGGGTTCCCAGGGCAGTGCAGCTAACTCTCCAACACGCCTGGCGCCTTCCCTGGGACAAGGTCTGGAGAAAGGGAATTCCAGCTGCAACTCCAGCATCACCACCATCCCTTTCCTCCCTGCAAGGCAGGTAACCTTGCTGCAATCCGCAGTAACCGCGGTGTGGAGAGAATAGGTGGGAAACCTGCTACAGAGGAATTCCCACCCAGCGCTTTGGGAGCACAAGGGGTGAGGAGAGCGACCGCTGCGCTCACCCCGATGGCATSTGCAGTTTGCTCTTGGATTAGTCTTCAGACATTGTTGGTTTGATACATCCATCAAGCGCCGGTGCTGGAGGACTAAGTTAGGGGTAGGATGAGTAAGAAAGGCCTTAAAAAACAACCCTAAATACAACAAGGCCCCCCAGCAGAYGTTTAGCCTTGCGTGCTCGCTTCAGACAGAGCGGGCACACACAAAACCATCGACAGACATAGTAGTRGGAATTATTTTGTGCCTGTCTCCTTGTGGGAGTTACCATGGCTGTGGAAATCTTGACTGGGAATTCAATGGAGAGTCAGTTATATATAAGCAGGTCAGGCCAAAATACAGGAGGTCAACCCAGAGAGCTCTACAAGGACTATTTTTACCACGTGGAAGAGGTCAGGGGATCACAAGGCACTCTCAACATGCAGTGCTCCCCATTTCAGTGCAATGAAGTGTTGTCAGTCTACAGTKGTACCATACCACCAGAAAACAACACCAGGAAACTGCTGTATTTTCTGCAGGTAAAGTCACAGCTTCCAATTTCTGAGCAGTTATCKGCAACATGGGAGAAAAAGGAAGCTCTTCCTAGTAAAAACGAGGATGTGAACTCCTATGGAAGGATCCTCTGCTCCAATTTTCAAATTCCCAGATTACGCTTTTCAGAAGGAGCCCTTTCAAACACCAACAGAGCTGCAAGCACAAGGAGCTGCTTCCCGAGTCTGAGGACAAAGCAGCTTCAATTTCTGCTGCTCGGATTTGCCAGGCAGCAGCAGAACAAAGTCAGCTTGTTCAGAGGCTACTTACACTGCTTCTCATCAGCACCCCGTGGGCAACTATGAAACTCTCAGGCCGCAGCTGACAGGCAAAGGCCAGTGTAAGGAGGGGAAAGAGGGTCTGCGTGGGAAAGAGGCACTCAGGGAACAGAAAACTGCAGGCAATCGCAGTTTTGGGAAGAGCCTCTGACTCAAGGACTCACTCCCAGCACAAGAGTTTGGGGGACTCWAGGGAGGTACCAGGTCCTGCCCTGTGCAAGTATCTGCAGGAGCCGGCCTGGGCCAATGGCCAGCAGCAGCAGAGACCTGGCTGAACTCTCAGCGCTCTTTTCCTGTCTAGTTTGTTGCCACAATATTAGCCCTAGAAACTAAGGCTAAAGCCCTCCTTTCCTCAGGCTGACACAAATAAGGCAGTTTGGTTCACAAGCACTCTGCACTTTGTAGGCCCATGAAAGCCAGAAATCAATGGTGCAAGCCCAGGCGGTAGGAAACTCTCCCACACCTCCCATCTTCACCTTCTTATGCATTTCTAGTAGACATCTGTCCTCAGTGGTGGACAACAGGGCTATCATCCTGTTGTGATGGGCCTCTCTCCCCCAACTCTTACAGTTAAATAAATAAATACCCACAAACAAGAAGCACACACCACTGACAAAGGCACTCAAGAGCTCACAAAAGAGAGGTTTCAGTTACACATACCCCTAGAGACTTAGGACCTGTGAATGGCTCCTTTACACATCTACCAGCCTGCAAAGATTATACATAGCAGAGTTAGTAGCAGTAAAATTGGGAAAGTCACACCCGTGCCGCTGACACAGGGACCCCCTGCACTAAGCAGTGTGGAAATACAGGCCAGGAGACACTTCAGAAGCTCCGAGTGACACGGAAGGGACAGCAGGGTGACATTATTTGCCCCCTGACCCCAGCACAAGCCAGCAGCACAGGCAGACACGGAACCGAGCGCCTTAGTGGCGCCCAGGGCAGTGCCCCGCTCGCTGGGCCACGTCCCCTCCCGTGCTCCGACCCGAGACACGGGGGCTCTGTGCCCCCCAACAGGGGAGGCGCCGGGCGCGGGGCCTCACCGATTCCCAGGTGGGTGTTGATGGAGGCGTAGCGGGCTGTGCCGGTCAGGTTCTTGTTTTCCCGGTAAGGGATGTGCTGGTGGGTCCGCGCGTCTCGGTATTTCTTGGCCAGGCCAAAATCGATGATGTACACTAGGTTGCCTTTCTTGCCGAGCCCCATAAGGAAGTTGTCTGGCTTCACATCCCGGTGGATGAAGTTCTTGGAATGAATGTACTCAATACGGCTGATCTGGAAGGGAAGAAATAGCAGGAAAGTGAGAAAGAAGCTCTCGGGAGCTGCACCTTGATAAACCTACCAGGGCACCGGCCTGGGGGAGCAAGGAAGGGGGTAGAGGGCAGAGAGCATCAGAGATGGCAGCTGAGGAAAACCGCCCTTTCCCACCCTCCAGAAGCAGGATTTGGATACAAGCCTGCACAGCAGCACACTCCTCAGGCTGGATAGATCATTTAACATTGCAAAGAAAGACAGGAAGCAAATTTGTACAATCTAACAAAACCTGAGCAACAGGGTTTACAGTGGCCAACTTTCAAACTTTGGCAGACTGGGTCAGGAGAAAGATGAGAACAACCAAGGGACCTAAACTCAAGGCATGAGCAGCTGAGCCCATAGAGGCAGCAGTATCAGCCATTCACCTCCCGGTGAAAACCACCTCTGCATGCTGTGCTAGCACAGGATGAGAGGCAGGGAAAAGGCAGGAGGGACGAGGACAGGAAGAGCCGGAGATGCTTCTGGGCTCCCAGCTTCATCAAGAAGGAAAAACCCGGAAGCTACTTGCTGCTAAATGAGAAAGCCTGGGATGTAACAGCTCTCGAGCAGAGGGGATGGGGAAGAAAAGGCACAGGAAAGGAGAGGAGGCACAAATGCTTTCGGAGGAAACTCACCATCTGGTCTGCCAGGAGCAGAACTGTCTTGAGACTAAATTTGCGGGAACAGAAGTTGAAGAGATCTTCCAGGCTGGGCCCCAGGAGCTCCATCACCATTACATTATAGTCCCCCTCTGCTCCGCACCACTTAATGGAGGGGATACCCACTGGGGAAAGAGGAAAAAAAAAGTAAGCCCTGGGAACAGAAGAAAATTGCTGCATCGCCTGCCAAGACGATCACACACAACACCAAGCTGTTTCCTTCCCAAGACCCTCCAGAACAATTCCCTTCYTCAAGCATTCCCGCAGGCCCATCCTCTCCTCCCCTTCTCACCTCCTCCCTGCATCATCTTGTAGAACTTGCTTTCGATGTGCAGCTGGGGATGCTTGGTTTTGACACATTCCAATTTGATGGCCACCTCTTCGCCAGTCGCAATATTGGCTCCTGCACAGAAATGAGGGCGAAGTTACGATGACACAAGCTCCTAGTGAAGCTGAGCACACTGAACGAGGCCCATGCAGACGCCAAACTCTTAAGATACGGCCTGAAATGTATCCTCTGTGACAGAAATGAGAACYAGCCACTCCAAGTTCACAGTTTCTAGCATTGCCACTTGCAAAAACAAGCCTTGTGAGGCACACGAAGAGGAAACCGGCTCTCATCCTACCAACAGGGTGGAACAACAGCTCTACAATCTGTAAACCACCTTGTTATCTCAGCAGGTTTAGTGACAAACCTTGGGAGAACAATCAGTGTCAGCAGTTACTAAAAATGAGTGGATTTTTTAAGCTATCCCTGATTAGGTACGCCCAGCTCCTGAACCCAAGGCAGCCTCCCAGGCAGGGATATCGAGTACATCTTCCCCGAGCAAAATTATTAGTTACCTCAGGTCCCAGAAGCCACCCAGTTTCAACAGAGCCAATTAGTCCAGGAGGAGACATTGGTAACATTCCCAGCTACCTCCGATCTCTCTACAGCCCCGACCTGCTCAATACAGCCAATTCCCAAACCTCCAGCTCCCCCCTCTCCCCAGGACTTTAATAATACCTTTATCTTTTGCCAACACCACAGTATTTGCTGCATCCAAAATTAGAAGTGCAAAGAAAYAAACCGAATCCAGGGCTGAACTAAGCCACTTGGGCACCTTTGTGGTAGGTATTGCTAGATAGTTTGTGGTGACAAAACGTCACCTCCCCACAGGCTTCTTTCTGAAGAAATGGGCTGCCAGCCAGRGAAGCCAGCGCGCTGGTCCCAGAGCACAGTGTCAAAGGAGGGACAGTCCTTCCCTCGTTTCTAGCCGCGAGGATTCCAGATGTTTCACATCATCCTAAAATGGAAAGAACTGAAAGATCCGTACACTGGTCACGGGAATGACACGCGAGAGCTGTTTCTTCCCTGCCACATACACACACACACAAACCCTTCCTCATATTAGGAATTATCAGAAGTTGCACTCAAATCAGAAGCAACAGCTTATGAAACAACAGAAGTACCAGCTTAAGAAAGCTGCCATAAAATGAGCTACAGTACAACTGGCAGGCTGAACAGAAGCTGAACTTGAAAATGGTGTTTTGTGTATATATATAAAAAAAATCTACTTTTAGTAAATCAGGTTAATATCTTTTTTAGTGTCTAAACTTTCTATCCTTGAATTTCAGAGTCCATAGAAATGGATGCAGACAGATCCATTTTCATTCACACACCACCTCCAGAACCAGGGACCAATGTGGCCAAGGAAAATTTCACACGACTGGATTCCTTCTCCACGGGAGCCCAGGAAGACCTCTTTGCTGAAGAGCCCTGGCACTGAGCACGCAGAAGTTAGTTACGGGCTCCCTGCTAGCACAAAGACGTCAGCTCGATGCTACAGCACCAGGTCGAGACAGACAAGCTGGGAGGAATTTGCAAGAGAGGAACAACAACTATCAGGGCCTAGAGGGATTGATTTACCAAGAAAGATTAAAAGAGCTAAATATGTAACAGAGACAAGAGATACAACTAAGAAGGGTGGGGAGGAAGAATGGGACATGACAACAGCCTGCAAGTATTTGAAGGCTGTAAACACTAAGGAGGGAGAAGAATTATTTAGGGTGCTCTGAGGGAGGGGAAGGAGGAGCAACAGGATCAACTTAATACATGTTTTCACTCAAGATCCAGGAGAGGGAAGGCGGAAAGTCCTCTTGAGAACTAGTCATCTGTCCAAGGGTCACTTTTGGAAAGACACTGACATGAAGGACATAAAACCTCCTTATACAGATCAAGAGTGCAAGGAGGAAAAGAAGCTCAGATCACCTTAGGAACATGGCCCTGGACAAATCTTTACTTTTTATATTTGTGTTGAATCACTGTATGTCGTTCAGCATGGAAGCACCCAAGCTACTCCAGACGATAAGAGTGTTTCCTTCTCTTCTCTTTTCCCCTCCCCATTTTCCCTTCCCCATCCTGCCTTTTCTAGAAAGGGAGACTTTTCTGGGCGTGGAGACTTTTCTACAAATCGTCTCTTGCAGCTCCCACGTCCCTTCCCTGGGGGGTTGTCCCTATCCTGTCCCATCTGCCGACACACCAGCCGTGATGAGTCCTGCTGACTAYGGCAGCAGCAATGAAGCAGCAGCCTCTTGAGTGACACCCCCAGGAAGTTTAACAGAGCAAAGATGAAGGTGTTCTCATCTCCATGTCACCCTGCACATTTAGGAAGATGACAAGGAATCCCTGGGCTGTTTGCATGTGGGGCATATTATCTGTAAGGATATAAAGCAGGAAAAAGAGAAGGGGCAGAGAGGGACACACGATGGAAACTCAGGACTCTGCAAAACGTAGATACGCCACCCAAACGGTCACCACGGCCTTCAGACCCACATCCTCCAGAGCGCAAGCACTGGCATCAGTCTCCCAAGGAAAGCAGAAACAGGTGGGCAGCCTGGAATACCAAAGCCCGGACCACGCAMGCACAGCAAGGAGCAGCCCTTTGCTGAGGGGGCACTGAGGGGGCACTGTGAGCTCAGGGCCCCCTACCAAAGCAGAGAGGGATTCCACGGCAGGAGTCTCCAATCCTTTGTTCCCTGCTTTCGCCACCATCTTTTTTTCAAAGCCATGAACACAAAAGCAACAGTTCCCTGCTCCTTCCTGGGAGGCTGCTCCCCAGCAGGAAGGCACTGTATTTCAGAGGCTGCTGCAGACACCGCCTGGCCCCGCGAGCCGAGACGCACGTAGGACGGGGGATAATTCCTAACATCCACCCCCAGTCTCGCTCGGCTGTGGGGGCTGCACAAATTCAAGTCATTCATCACGAGCCACTCGAAACGGGGCCCTGCAGACAGACTTTGTCACCTGCTAAACAGGATCCTTGCAGAGCAGAGGCCTCGCCGCTGGCCCCATGCAATAACCACCACCCTCCTTTCGCGTGGGGCAGGACAACAGGAATGGCCTCCGCTCTCCCCACGGCCCTTCCCACCTCCTGTCCCTCTCCTGCCAGCTTAGCAATGGGAGAAAGGACAAGGACGGCTGCAGAGCAGATGGAAGAAGTCAGATAGGGCGGGAGAGAGTTAACAGGCCAGGAAACAAAGGGAACTCGCTCCCCTCCCAGCAAGGGAGGAGCCTGTAAGCAGGAACTGTCCAAAGGCAACAGTGTCCCGGCATGCTTTGTCTGCAGCACATCCATCCCCAGTGATCCCTAGTTCCTCTCCACCATCATGGCACCGCAACCGGCTCCTTCGGTRGGTCCCAGCCCTGATAACTGGCAGTAAGTCCAGATATTCCTGCCCTGCCTCTTTTGACGGCCCAAAGTTCTCAGCAACTCCTCTAGAAACAGGGTTTCACTCTTCCCAGCGAGTGTTTTACGGGCAAACAGGGTAGCCAAGGCCCACGGGCACTCTGCTCCTGCTTCCCATCCTCCCCAGCCAGCGCAGGGAGAATCTGCCCCTCAGTGCCTACATCCTTCAAGGAGGAACATAAAGCAAGACACTGCTACTTGAGACCCAGACTAGGATTCACAGTAGTCTGTCCTTTGTGTGTGTCCACAAATTCCAATTTCCTTCCGGCAGGAAATCCAAAAATGAATCCCAAGTAGCACAGCACACAGTACCCATTGGTTATGGAGAAGAGGTAAACATTAGTATCCCGAAAGAGAGAAGTTAAGAATAAACCATACAGCCCACACTCCCCATCCCATACAAAGCCTGTCTGTCCCTGTTCTACCTCCACACCATTATTAAATGAGAACTGTGAGACAAATCTGGTGCAGGAGAGGAACTCCAGTGAATGAGCCTCTCTGTCTGCGAGGCAGACAGCAGGAGGGTAATGTGAGCACAAGCGTCCTCCAGACACACCAGAGCCTGCGTGTCCCATCCCTCCGGGCTGGGGAGGCACCCAGGCTCCACCAAGTCTCACTATCGCTGCTTCAAAACACACTCCCCTGCACCTCAATGAGCATCCCAGGAGCTTTGATACTGCATGCAAGCAACTCGGTTGAACTCTGCAACTGGAACTCGGGAATCCTGCTGCGCTTACCGCAGCGCTGGACCCTCCTCTGCTCCTCGTGTTTTCTAGTTACAGGCGAGACRGGCACAGCCCCACACCAGAGCAAGCGTTTTTTAATGCCCCCTTCAYACAGGGGACAGAGCAACACAGGGCCTATCCTTTCCACCCAGTACCTCCCTTCATATTTTTAAGATCCTGACATTCACACCTCCTCACAGCAAGTCTTCAAGCCCATTAGCACAGGTGGAAAATGCTGCGCCTCGCAACCCGTTATCACCCCTTCTTCCCCAACACCTGGGTATAAAAAGCCCCCTAGACACTCCCTGGCTGAAGGGCCAAAGAGGAGAGGAGGCTGCAGTGAAGGCAGCCTACAGTGAGCAGGGATCCCAGATCTGCTATTCATCATCTTTGTTCGTGATCTGGATAAAGGTGGCAACAAAGCCTGTTAGTGATGATCCCCCCAGGATACTTAATCAAGAGGAGCTGCCAACACCAATCAGGAGAGACTAATAAAGCAAGAAAGAACCGAAGATAAAAACCAGAGGTAGAAAACAGAAGGTGATTTACAAACATGGAGAAGACTAATCTGAAGCAGAAGTGTTCACTGAAAGGACCTCAGGAGGGGACTGAGAGACATTGCAGAGCCCAGCAGAGCTCTCATACAATACAGCTGTCAGCACATGAGGGCCAGTCCTGCAACCTGACACTGTGTTGGTGAGGGGAAAGCCAAGGAGACCCAAAGCACTCTGTGCAATGGCATCACATTACAGATGACTCCAAGGGTGGCCCTTTGCTGCCCAGCTCTGGAAATGCCACACCTAAAGTGCTGCGTAGGCTCCGCTCTGCTCAGCAGATGGGCAAACTGTGAGGAGAAAAACATAGATAGCAAAGAGCAGCAAAAAAAGAGGAATGTTGGATACACTGTGAAAACCAAAATACAACTCAACTAAGCAAAGAAACAGTCAAGGAACATGTGATAATCACTGCAAGTAAACAACTGGTGCAAACATCAAGTGGAAGGGCAATTATTGAGCTGGCCTGAGGAACTCTGGCTGAAAAGGCCATGGTGGTGACTGGACGGTGAGAAAAGGCTCTCCCGCTCTCAGGGAGGGATTAATCAGGCTACATGGTTGTCTGACCCATCCATTCCCACGTGGTTTGAGGCAGGAAAAACATCAGTAGGCAAAGCACTAGGAAATCCTCTGCACTCCAGGGTGCTGCCTTGGGAGAACTTTCCCCAAGTCTCACAGTAAGAGGAAACCCAGGGTTTCATGAAGGGCCATCTACCGACCCCACACAACTCCAAGCAGTCATTCTYAATCTCATCCTACCCACTATAGGTCTGGGCCTCTACGCTTTCCCAGACCAGCCTCTTTGACTTTTTACACCCCTTTGTTTCAGACYTCGCTCTCAAATCTGCTGCACCACTTTGGTGGACCACCAGGAACCATCCCACCAGTTTATTCCCTTCATTCTAAAGCCTCTCCGCCGCTAACTCTCCAAAGAGCTTATATCCCCCCCGACACACACCCACGCTCAGGAAAATGAAGCAAGAGAGTTGCTTAGAGTGTATGACAAATATGCCATATACAGCCCAACTCCAAATCAGTTGGAGTCACACTGATGTTGGATCTACTATCCACAAGGCAAAGCTGAGCTCCTTCCTTTCCCTTTGCCATCAGAGTTCAACAGCAACTGGTAGTATTCCTTGATGTTTGTTTTTCTCTTTACCATTCTGACCTTACGTGGTGTCTACAAACACCAACAAGCAGGAGCACAACGTATCCTCACAGGCGCATGGCTAGGGACACCCACACTCACCCAGGTAGATGTCTCCAAAGGAACCACTGCCAATCTTTCTGCCCAGGCGGTATTTGTTCCCCACTCGAAGCTCCATGGTTCAGTYGTGCTGAAAAAAAAAAGCAGCAAAAGGCAGAGTCAGAAGCAGAAACAGGAACCGAACCAATACAAACACCATGGAAGAGACCCGGTCACTTAAGTCAGTCACTTCATAAAGTACTCCAGAATCTGGGYTCAGTTATTATCTTGAAATACTTCATTTTCTATATGGCCTCTCTACCTGTCCTTACCTCACAGGTGTCTAGGGACAGGATGAGCTTAAAAAGATTGCAGGAACAGGACATTTTCAGGAATATTATGTTCCCTTTAGAGGAATGCAGAAAGGCTGAACTTCTTTCCAACCATTTTTTTCCCAGAGACTGGGGCAGCAGGAAATCTTCTCAAAGAGGTTTCAGTGAGGAACTGTTTCAGACTATGAGGAGCAGTACCACCTCTCTCCAGAGCAAAATAACCAGCACCAGGACAGCTCTAGCCTCAGGAGAGGCCGTAGAGGATGGGCACAAACCCCATGAGAAGGACTCTCTCTGCCCCAGAGCATGGGGACATTCAAAGGACATGCAGGCCCAGACCTGCACCTTGGGCAGTTAAATGCAGGAATCAAGGGCTTTGAAAGACAGACTCTCTGCGAGCAGCTCCACAGCCCCTGGGTGGGGGCTGGCAGAGTTGAAAAGGAACAAACATCACAGCAGACCGAGCTCGGCGAGGCCCAAGCAGACCAGGAACATCATTTTCTTATCTCCACACGCTTGTGTTGATGAGATCACAGCCTCCATGGCTCTAGCACAGCCTCCCCGCGTTATCTAGCCTGCTCTGCTGACACCTTGTTTTTAGCAGCTCAGGTCTTTCCCCTTCTTTTTACCTGAGGTGATTAGCTAACCCTTTGACCTGCTACACCCGATCAACATGCCTAGACTTAGCCCTGCTCAGCTTCCCCAGAGAAATGACCAGGGAAGAAGCCCAGAGACACCAAGTCTGTTCTCCTCCATCCAACCCCAACCATGCCSTGCTGCTGCGGAGGCCTCTGCCAAACGTAGCTCCAGAGTTCCCCCCTGCTCATAGCCCCTTTTCCCTGCTCCCTTCCCCCGCCACCGACACAGAGAAGGCAGCTCCCTTTAGGAGAATCTGCCACACTCTTAATTGATGCAATGCCACATTATTAGCGTACAAAACGCAGACACAGAGTCTGTTGGGGACAGGAAAGGTGAGGAATGATTCATGTTTTCACAAGTAGGTGAGAGGAGCTTTCCCCCGCTGGATGGGGGTGAGAAGGAAGCACGACCGAAGGAAAGATGGGTGGAAGGAAAGGCTCCGTGTCACCGTGGGACATACATGGGTCCACACACGCACATAAAATAATCACAGCTACAGGATTCTGGGCACACTATAAACCGGGAGCTGCTGCTTGTGCCCTGGGAGAGGGGATTACGGAAAGCAGAATGGACGAGCTGCAGGGACGCACAGGGAAATAATCCTATCAAGGCATTCAGGGACATTTGTGAACCCTGAAAGCTGAGCTCCTGTCACCAGGAACCACACACAAAACAGTCCGAGGCGGAGTCCCCTAACCTGCTATTTACTTATGTGCGTGGGTTTCTCTGCGTCTGAAGACCAGAGAAGCCCATGGCTATTTGTGACTTTCTTAGCAGGAGGAAGGCAGGCAGGGCCTCGGGAAGCGAAGCGGGGAGGCGACCGCACCTGCATGAGGACGCAGCACCAGACAGGGCTTTCATCTGCTCTTCCCTATAGCCACCTTAGGGTGCATCCCACCCGCGCACGCTCCTACTCCAGTGAACGGCCAAGGGGCCGTGTTCCCGGGAGGCYGTCATGGCCAGGGCAGCCCTCTGCCCTCCTTCCTTCACGGAGGCCTCGGAGGGCCCCACTCCGCGCCGGGCACACGGCCCGCTGCTCTGCAACGCCACCGTGCCCAGGCTGGACGTGGTGCTACTCCCACGGGACAGGCGGGAGCCACGTGAGGAAGGGCTCCTCGCACAGCCCTCCGGCCGATTCAGCAACAGGCTCCACGAGGGAATCTCAAAAATGCCCCCGGGTAAAACAGGGGACAGCGGGATAATGGAKAGAAAAATCACGGGCGTGCACAGCTGTCCTTTTGCCTTATCTCCCCCGGCCCGAGCACACAGACACACACAGACACACGCTCAGAAAACCTGGGAGGAAGACAGCCAGATAGCAACAGAATGGATTGACGGAAAGGGGGCAGGAGACACACGACACCCCTCGGAAAACACCCCAGGAGCTCAAACACCCACCAGATGTGTACTTCACACATGCACCCCTCTACCCTCCATAGTTTCTGCCTTATACGATATTGAGGTCTGCTATTACAAAAAAAAAAAAAGCATGTAGATGTTTATATATATTCTATATGTGTACCTATATATAATATGTATATATTTAAAGAATATTACACCAGCACCAGMCTTTACTCCCCCCTGCCCTGCCATCTTTCTCGTACTCTCCAGCCAAGGGACTGTTCCCAGGGGCTGCAGGGCAATCATTTAGTTAAACCATTTAGTTTTCCATACGGGATTAACACACATACAACCTTACAGCAAGTGTGTGCCCTGCATGAGCGTCTGCATGCATTAATACCCACATTACACAGACACCTACAATACACTACACCACCTCAAAAATACTACGGCCACCCATGTTGGTTCCACACGCGCAGTTTTGCACCAGTCCTGTTTTATATAATATAWAAAAAAAATACCCATGTACAAGCACAAAGGCCATTACATAAACACACAATATAGTTGAGCTCACCCTGATGTGTCAGCACAGTTTCTGACAGAGGACACGCAAACCATTTCAAATAGTAATAATAATAAAAAAAGGGAGTTTATCTGAGCCCCACCTGGAGAGGCATGAGGTGAGAAGATACCCAGGCTACCAAAGGGCAGAGAAAACCAAATACAGAGCGAGTTCAGCAGCTACATAATGGAGGCTGCCGAGCCCAACACGGCTCCGGCTTTAAGGGGAAGTGTGGAGAGCGGCAGCTGCTTTGCCCATAGACCATAAAGGCTTTACATGGGCTTTTTTTTTTTTTGTGTGTGTGTGTGTGTGTGAGAAGGGAAGGGAATAAAGGAAGAGGCAGGCAAAAAAATAAAAAAAATAAAAAAAAAAAGGAGAGAAAAATAACATTTTTGATATGCAAAGACATCAAACACAAGCCCTCCCCCCCCAGCCTATTCCACAGTTACAAAAGGAGAGGCTCCAGCAGCAGATACTTGGGGGGGGGGGGTTATAAAAAGCCCTCAAAAGCCCCACATTACTCACAGGGCAAATACGTGCGCTTGGACTACATTTTAGGAAGAGACGGCCGCGACCGGAAAACAAAGCAATAACAAAACAAAGCAAGAACAACAAATATATAATATATATATATATATATATATATATATTTATATGTGTTTCTGATGCCCCCTGCCCAGCCCTCACAGGCGAAGCAGCGCCCCAGGCAGCCTCAGCGCGGCCTTTATTTTCCCCGATCGGTGACAAAACGGGGGGCGGCGGTGGGGCGAAGGGCTCGGGCCTCCTGCCCCCCCCGCCGCCCCCCGGGGCGGATGGGGGAACCGAGAACCGCCCCGATACCCCCCCCAGCCCCCCCGCGCCGCCAATCTCCGCCGGGCACAAAAGGAAACCGGG